CCTGGGATCGAGTCCCATGTCAGGCTCCCTGCATGGTGCCTGCTTCTCCCTCTGCCTGTGTCTCCCTCTGCCTCTTCTCTCTCTCTCCCTCTCTCTCTCTCTCTCTCTCTCTGACTCTCATGAAAAAATAAATAGAATCTTTAAAAATAAATAATAAATAAATCTTCAGGCTCAATTTCTTTTCTGAGTGCTAAGCCTCTAATAGGCTTTTTGTTTTGTTCAGGCTCAGAAGACTCCTCTCCCTACTGTCCTGAAAGCTCTGTACCCCAGCTCTAGGTGAGAAGGATACAGGATATGTAGTGGTTTAAGTGGTTCAGTGGTTCTCTCACTGAATGGCTTTGTTAGTTTATCATTATATACTTTCTAAAAGATTCTTTGTCCGATTAAGAAATTTTTGTATTTTTTTAGCCTTTTTAGATGTTTTATGGCTATGGGTTTTAGACATCTATAATTTATCAAATTACCAGAAACAGAAGTTCTGAAAAGTTATTTGTCGTTCTAATATAATGGTAATTTAGTCATTTTTCCTTTGCTTTTATTATTATTTCAGAAGATCATCTTCTTGCTTGTAATGTACTTGTAAACCCAGTTCTAAATAGGCTTTGGATAAGCCCAAACCACCCGTTGAAGAAGAAGACATGGGCTTTATGGTGGTGATTTTCTTGTTTCTCAAAGAATGATTGTTGCTTTGTTTGTCAGCTATTGCCCTTGTAGTTGAGATAATCAGAAGTTTGGTGAAGGCCAAAATGTAGTACTAACATTAATATACGGCTAATTTTTTAACGATGTGGGAGTCTGGGACTGACCCCCTATGCCATAAAAAGTCCACATATAACTTTTGACTTCCCCAAAATTTAACTACTGATAGCCTACTGTTGAATGGAAGCCTTATGATAATATAAACAGTTGATTAACACATATTTTGCCTATTATATATATTATATTCTTACAATAAAGTAAGGTAGAAAAAATAAAATGTTATTAAGAAAATCGTAAGGAAGGGAAAATACATTTATAGTACTGTTCTGTAAAAAATCCACGAATAAGCGGGCCTGTGCAGTCCAGACCTGTGTTGTTCAAGGGTCAGCTATAATTACTTTTGCTTCATACCTCCTATTTGATAGGCAGAATCCACAGGAGTGGCTCTGGGGCTCCCCTTCACCTCTTTGCTAATACTTAAGACCCAATATAGACCCTTTTTTCTTGATGTCTGCCCTTCAGGCTACTTGTATGTACCTCACTGCCACCTCCTCTGCCTACTTGCTGTGCACAGAATTGTTTCCAAAGCTGTGAAGGTTGTGAGTGCCAAAGAGCACAGTGTCCCCTGTCTTACTGGGTATGGTGCAGACATGAGAGGAATTCTCCTGCTCTGCATTCTGTCACACTGTTACCTGTCTACAGAAGTAGTTCTGTTTAGACCTCTGTGAGTCTTTTGAGAAAACTAGTCTTTTTAGCTTTTTCTTGTAACCTTTTTTCTCTAAGGTAAAGTTCCTTCAGAAATCCTCAAGGCCAGACCTACAGACTAGTTTCTCAGACTTCTACTTTGCTACTCCTCTCTGTTTTCCCACAGTACACTTGTGTTCCCATGCTTTACCAAAATCTCATTTGCACACTGACTTCTGTGTCCCACAGTTAGGCTCAAGTTACTGTTATACTTAGTGCGTGCTCGTAGAGACATACACATTACTTCATTTCTCTGAACCAGCTTGCAAGGTAAGTATAAGTATCCCCATTCTACAAATGGGGAAACAGGCTCAGTGAGATATAGAAACCTTCCTAGGATCACATTGCTAATAAGTGGTGTGGCTGCTTTTGAACCCATGTGGGTGATTCTAGTGCCCTTAGATTGCAAGACCTTTTTGTGCCATTTTTATGAATTTGTGTACTTAGGTATCTAAATACTTAGATTTGGTACATACCAAGTATCTAAATACTTAGATAGTATCTAAATACTTAGATTTGGAACATACCAAGATTAATTTTATACTGAATACCATTTCAAGCTTTGAGTTAAGAGATTTTATTTGCAAAAACAAACCTAAAACAAAAAAATGCTGATTGTATTGAGTCAAGATTAAACACACAGTAGCAGGTGGCTACTAGTATCTGTTAAATACTTGGCTGATTTTTAGGCTTCAAAGTAACTTACTTGATGTACATACAGTAAGACAGACTTGCTTAGTAACCAGATATAGAATCTGATGATTAGCCAGAATAGATGAAAAATCTGTCCACATTTAGAATTTAATTTGTAACTGTTAAAATTCCCCTTTATATATCTATATTATTACTGAATTATTATGACTTAGAAACAACCACTCATGCTTTATAAATGTGTAATATATTTGTTGGTGGATAGATAGTTGGACATTAGATGATGGACACAAGTTTCTATTGTGGAGGATAGCCAAACTTCCTGAATTGGGATATATTGATGTCACATTCTAAAGAGTCTTATGTTTCAGATAAGTGGATAATTAACAAAAAATTCCATGATTTGAACTGAAAATATCTTTCAACTGAGCATGGTTTATGTTCACCAAAATTTCCAGTATAATATTTTTCTAAATAGTCAACCACAATAAACCAAGATCAGATTGTTAGATGAAATATATTAATATAATCAGAAACTCATATTTCTATATTTTCCATTTCTTAAATAAAAATAAATGCTGCCTTATAAGTTATTATTACATGTTTTCCATATACAACTGAGTATGTATATGGAGAAAACTATATTAGTTCTGTAAATCATTGTCATAGCTTTATTAAAACGTTCAGTTGTGTATTTATTTTTTTTAATCCTTGTGTTTTGTGGGCTCTTGTATCTGTGGGAGAATGCTGGTTTGTATTCTAATTGGTCATTCAAACAATTTTTCTACTCACTAAGCTGTATGCAGTAGATAGGCAAATGAACAGCCTGATATACTATTTGGAAATTGTTAATGCAGTTTATATGTGATGTTAACTTTATATAATCTTACCAACAACTCTTACGTAAGTTCCAAATTGGCTGTGGAGGGTGTATATGTATAAAAAGAGATATTTATGTACAAATATTTATGTGCATATATATCTGCATATGTGTGTGTGTGTGTGTGTATATATATATATATATATATATAATTTTTTAAGTAATTTCTGCACCCAACATGGGGTTCAAACTCACAACCCTGAGATCAACAGCTATGTGCTCTACTAACTGAGCCAGCCGGGCACCCCTATATATATAATTTTTTAAAACAGAGGGTATGGTGATGTAGTGATAGCTAGAATGTGAATAAAATACATGTAATGAAAGAAAATTCTAATTATATCTAATGCTATGAGTAGCTTCCAGATTATACTATAATGATGATATTAGATAAAATCTGTCACAATGCTAAAAGCTTTGCGTGAATTATCTCTTTAATTTATTTAGTAACTCATAAGATAGGTACTGTTACCTTAATTTGAGGAAACAGATTTAGAAAGACTAAGTCACTTGACAAAGGTCAAACAACTAATAAGTATTTGTATTCGTTTCTTACTGCTGCTGTAACCAATTATCACAAACTTAGTTGGGAGGCAAGAAGTCTGAAATGGGTAAGAAGTCTCTGGACTGAAATCAGGTATTAGGGGTGTGTTCTTCTGGATGCTCTAGCAAGAGAATCTCTTTCTTCCCTTTTCCAACTTCTAGAGGCTGTTGAAGTTTGTTTCCTCCATCTTCAAACCCAATAATGTCCATTAAGGCTCTCATGCTGCCATCCCTCTGGTTCTCTCTTCCAGTTTTCTTCCCCTTTTAAGGATTCTTATGATTGCAGGGGACCCACACAGATAGCCCAGGGTAATTGCTCTAGCCTAAGGTCGGTCATCTGATTGGCAACCTCACTTCCAACTGCTACCTAAATTCTCCTTTACCATGGAACCTAATCTCTTCATAGGTTCTGTGTATGAGGTTCTGATCATCTTTGGAATTCATTATTCCACTTACCACAGTGGTGTAACTGGAACTGGTCTCCAGCCCTGCCTCTTAAAGGCATTCCTTTAGGAAGTTGAAAACCCAACCCTGAGGTCATTTTTTCAGGATGGCTTTGTACTTCTTGAACATTATCTTAACAAGGGTTGGATAACTTCCATAGCACTGAAAGTTTAGCTTTCTCTTCTCATTTATATGTTGTAAATGCCAAATACATTTCTAAATGTTTAATTGGCAGGAAAAGAGAATCTTGATTAGAATTCAAATATACAAATACTAAATACAATCTCTTGTGATTTAAATGGTAAATATTGTGATTAAAACTTTGTACTATGTAGTTACACTTAATCATCTCATTTCTGGTGTTTGGGGCATTGCTTCACACAGGAATCAGTATTTTACATATAAGTTCTTTCTTTTTTTTTTCTTATAAAGATTTGATTTATTCATGAGAGACATGGAGAGATAGAGGCAGAGACATAGGCAGAGGGAGAAGCAGGCTCCATGCAGGAAGCCCAGTGTGGGACTCAATCCCAGGACTCCAGGATCCTCCCTGAGCCAAAGGCAGACCTAAAACGTTGAGCCACCCAGGTGTCCCTACATATAAGTTTTTTCAATTTTTTTTTTAAGATTTTATTTATTTATCCATGAGAGACATAGAGAGAGAGGCAAAGACACAGGCAGAGGGAGAAGCAGGTTCCATGCAGGGAGCCTGCATGGGACTCGATCCCGGGTCTCCAGGATCATGCCCTGGGCTGAAGGCGACGCTAAACCACTGAACCACCCGAGCTGCCCAGTTCTTTCAATTTTGATAACGGTTAGCTAATTTATTTTAAAGCTCTTCTTTTTAAACTGATAATATGGATTGCTTCTGAGGAAGGGAAATGCTTGTCTGGAAGATAGAAGAAATTTCACTGTATGCCCTTTTGTACTTTTTGTACTGTGATAAATGTGAGTGTATAAACTAAAAACAAATAAAACTGTTAACTTTTTAGCAGAATAAATGAACAGCTCCTAATTTTTCACTGTCTCCACTCTTCAGGATCACCCCTTCTGTGTCATTCTGTGAGGAAAATGAGTTCTCAAGGAGAAAAATCCAAACCTAGTCAACAATCTCTTAAGAAGCCAAAGTTACCAGAAGGTCGTTTTGATGCACCAGAAGATTCTAATTTAGAGAAAGAACCACTGACAAGTGAGTATGGACATACCTCACAGGTATTACAGGTTTGATCTAGACCACTGCAATAAAGCAAATATGGCGGTAAAGCAACTCAAATAATTTTTTTTGGCTTCCCAGTATTTATAAAAGTTATGTTTACACTATACTGTGGTCTATAAGTGTGCAATAGCATTGTGTCTTACAAAACAATATATATCTCTTACTTTAAAAATACTTTATTACTAAAAATAATAGCCATCGTCTGAGCTTTCATTGAGTTATAATGTTTTTCTGGTGGAGAGACTTGCCTCAATATTAGTGGCTGCCGACTGATCAGGGTGATGCTTGATGTAATAATTTCTTAAAATAGGACAGCAGTGAAGTTCGCCACATTGATTTATTCCTTTCATGAAAGATTTCTCATGAGATGCTATTTGATAGCATTTTAGCCAAGTAGAACTTCTTTCAAAATTGGGATCAATCCTCTCAAACCCTGCCACTTTTTTGTGAACTAAGTTTATGTAATATTCTATACCCTTTGTTGTCATGTGAACAGTCTTCACCATATCTTCAACGGGAATGGTTTCCATCTCAAGAAACCACTCTCTTTGCTCATCCTTCAAAAGAACTCCTCATCTGTTTAAGTTTTTAACAAGAGATTACAGCAATACAGTCACATCTTCAGGCCCTGCTTCTTATTGTACTTCTCTTGCCATTTCCACATCTGCATTTACTTCCTCCACTGAAGTCTTGAACCTTTCAAAGTTATCCTTGAGGGATAGAATCAACTACTTTCAAACTCCTTTTAATGTTGATAATTTGGCCTCCCCGTGAATCTCACATGTTCTTCATGGCATCAAAATGGTGAATCCTTTCCAGAAGGTTTTCAGTTCACTTTGCCAAGAACCACCAGAAGAATCACCACCTATGGCAGCTACAGCCTTAGGAAATCAATTTCTTAAATAATAAGACGTGAAAGTCGAATGCCTCCTTGATCCAGGGGCTGCACAATGGATGTTGTGTTAGCAGACATGAGAACAACATTAATCTCATTGAACGCCTCCATCAGAGCTCATGGGGGACCAGGTGCATTGTCAATGAGTAGTCCAATTTTGAAAGGAATCTTTTTTTCTGACCAGTAGGTCACATCAGCAGGCTTAAAATATTCCATAAACCATGTTGCAAACAGATGTGCTGTCATCTAAGCTTTGTTCTATTTATGGAGCACAGGCAGGGTAGATGTAGCATAATTCTTAAATGCTCTAGGATTTGTGGAATGGCAAATGAACACTTGCTTCAACTTAAAGTCACAAACTACATTAGCCCCTATTAGGAGAGTCAGCCTGTTCTTTGAAGCTTTGAAGCCAGGCATTGACTTCTCCTCCCAGCTATGAAAGTCTTTTTCCAATAGAAGGCCGTTTCATCCACACTGAAAATCTTGTTTAATGTAGCCAATTTCATTACTTACCTCAGCTAGATCTTCTGGATCAGCAACTGCTGCTTCACCTTGTGTACTTTGATGTTGTGGAGATGGTGTCTTTCCCATACCAGCTGTTTGCTTTCTTATCATTTATGGTTCACTGAAGTGGCACTTCTCATGTCCTTCAGGAACTTTTCCATTGTCTGCACAATTTGGTTAACTGGTTGTCGCAAGAGGCCTAGCTTTTGGCCTATCTTGTCCTTTCAGCGAGCCTTCCTTATTAAGTTTAATCATGTCTAGCTTTTGATTTAAAATGAAAGAGATGTGACTCTTCTTTCACTTGAACACTTAAAGGCCATTATAGGGATATTAATTGGCCTAATTTCAGTATTGTTTTGTCCCAGAGAGTAGGGAGGCCTACTAGGGAGTAGGGATAGACAAGGGAATGACTGTTAAGTGGAACAGTCAGAGCACACGCAACATTTATCAGTTAACTGTTTTATATGGCGCATGTTTCTTGATGCTCCAAAACTTACAATAGTAATATCAAAGATCACTGACCACAGAGCACCATAACAAATATAATAATAATAAAAAAGTTTGAAATATTGAGAGAATTACCAAAATATGACACAGAAACCCAAAGTGAGCAAGTACTGTTTGGAAAAATGGCACCAGTAGACTTGCTTATGGTAGGGATGCTACAATTTGTAAAAAAATCCGGTATCTGTGAAGCACAGTGAAATGAAGTATGCCTGTATAATAAAGCTTCTCTTGACTTTTGAAGCGTCAGAGTATTTTAGTTATTGAGAAAAAAGAATGAAAGGAACATGTTATTATTTATAATTCTTTTTTAACAGTAATAAAACATTTCACAATGAATAAATTACCATATTGACTACTCTGTGTAGGTTTAAAAAAATAATTTCTAAGCCCCAGTTTTATTTATTATACCCCAGTATTCACATGACACAGTTTATGAATTGAGACCTGTTTTGATGCAAATAACTTGAAAACCACTTGAGCAGACTTAAACAGAAGTAACAACAATATAGGTTGTTATTGGGCTACAAGGTACACAGATGGGATACACCAGGGCAGTGATGCTGCTGGACCTTGGAAAAAGATGGACCTGGGGAGTAAGCACTATATGGAAACCAGGATATTCTGTCTCCTTCTCTTGTCCCTGGTCTTTTTTCTTCATTGTTTTCTGTCATCAGACTGTTCTAAATCACTGGGCAGAAAGAACTGCTCCTAACTGCTATTCAGTTCAATAGAAGAACTAGACAAAATATAGTTGTTTAATTCTAACTCCAAATTTCTTTTTTTTTAATATTTATTTATTTATTAGAGAGAGAGTGAGGGTTGAGGGGGAAGGAGAGGAAGAAGAGAATCTTGAACCTATTCCTTGCTGAGTGTGGAGCCTGAGGCGAGACTAGATCTCAGGACCACAACCTGAGCCAAAACCAAGAGTTGGTCACTCAACCCAACTGAGCCACCCAGACACAACTAATTCCAAATTTCTGAAGAAGAAGGTTCATTTGCCAAGCTTGGATCCGGTGTCTATAGCTAAATCAGTCAGAGTGGCCAGTGGGATGGGTCACAGGTGGAGGCAGTTGTTCTCACCATAGCCATGTGGTTGGAGAAAGAGAAAGGGGATCCCTGGGTGGCGCAGCAGTTTGGCGCCTGCCTTTGGCTCAGGGCGCGATCCTGGAGACCCGGGATCGAATCCCATATCGGGCTCCCGGTGCATGGAGCCTGCTTCTCCCTCTGCCTATGTCTCTGCCTCTCTCTCTCTCTCTGTGACTATCATAAATAAATAAATTAAAAAAAAAAAAGAAAAGAAAGAGAAGGGAAGTTTGGAGAAAGAAAAGGTTTTTTAAGGGTGGTGCAGTTATCACTAAACAGTGTTTTGTATTTAGTGTATATAAAATTTGGCTCATGTCTTAAGGCTCTGTTTTTTAAAGTGTTACTTTATTTTCATTCTATACTCTTTTGTACCTTTGAATTGTAGAAAATGTGCAAGTATTAGCTATTCAAAAAATAACATTTTAGATAGCATAAATGTTAACATACCAGTTTGAAACTTTGACAGGGTTGCCCTGCTTGTCTAATTTTTCCATTCTTCTGAGAGTTAACCGACCTATGCAGTGAAGCATCCTGGACAAGAAGACTTAAACAGAGGATACAGGGACCTCTGTCTGGAACTCTTTAGAATATAAAAGCTTTTCTTTCTGTTCATTCAGTTAAATTTTTCAGTTTATAGTACTTTACTAAGCCCAGTCTAATAATCAGATCAATCAATCATCCAAAATGATGGAGACTTTTGAAAAGCATAATCTAAAGGTAAAAGTCTTCTTTAGTAGTTTTAGCCAAGCCCAAAAATCTAAGAGGAAATTTTTCATTTAAACGTCATACACAAAAGTAGCAATCCCAGAAGTAAACCCTCACATACGTGCTCAACTGGCTTTTGAGAAGGTTGCCAAGATCATTCAGTGAGGGGAAAAGACAGTCTTTTCTATACGTAGCACTGGGAAAACTAGATATACACACATAAAAGAATGAAATTGGACCTTTACCTTATACCATATATGAAAATTAAATATGTCAAAAATGTATTTTTGTTAAGAGATAAAACTATAAAATTATTAGATGAAAATGTTGGGGAAAGTCTTCATGATATTGATTTTGATAGCAGTTTTATGGTTATGACAGCAAACACAGAAGTATATAAACTGGACATTATTAAAATTAAGAAATTTTGGACATCAAATGATATTATCAAGAAAGTGAAAAGATAATGTATGGAATGGTGGAAAGTATTTGTAGATCATATATCTGACAAAGAATTAATATTGAGAGTATATAGAAAACTCCTACAACTCCACAAAAATAACTCAATTCAAAAATAGACAAATGACTTGAATATACATTTCTCCAAAGAAGATATACAAATGACTAACAAGCCCTTGAGAAGATGTTCAGCATCACTCCTTAAAAAATCAAAACTACGGTGAGATACTCCACACCAACTAGGATATTACAATTTAAAAAAAAACTGGAAAACAAGTGATGGCAACGATGTGAAGAAATTGGAACCATCCTGTATTTCTGGTGGGAATGTAAAATGATGCAACTACTATGAGAAATAGTTTGGCAGTTTCTCAAAAAAAGTCAGATATAGAACCTAGCAATTCTACTCCTAAGTATATATTTAAAAGAATTGAAAGCAGGAACTTAAATAGATATCTGTATATCTATGTTCATAGCAGCTTTATTCACAGTAGCCAAAAGAAACAATTCAGATATCCATTGATAGATAAATGGATAAACAAAATGAGTGTGGAATACTGTTCAGTCATAAAAAGGAATGACATTCTGATTATGCTACAATATGGATGGACCTTGAAAACATTATGCTTAGTGAAATGAGTTAGACACAGAGGACAAATACATGATTCCACTTAAATTATGTACCTAAACTAGGCAAATTCATAGATATAAGGTAGTATAGAGGTTATCAAAGTCTAGAAGGAGGGGATCAAGGAAAAGTTTTTGTTTAATGGGTACAGAGTTTATAATGAGGATAATGAAAAACTTGTGGGTATAGATAGTGTGATAGTTACAGACAATTGAGAATATAGTTAATGCCACTGAATTGTATCCTTACAAATGGTTAAAATGATAAATATTATACATATTTAATACAATAAAAAAGAAAAATGCATTTCAAAAGATAATCATCTATTTGACACAATGCTAGGTATTCATTGTAACTTTTGAGTCACTGAAATTTATGTCAAACGTACCGTCTCTTAGAAACTGTTCTAGTAAACATCACCAAAGCAGCAAATGCTTTTCAATCCTCATTTTACATGAACTGTCCACAAGCTTTGGCATTGTTAAATTGTAACCACTACTTCTGGAAATCTCCTGTCTTGGCTTTGGTTATGCTTTGTCCAGTTTCTCCTCCTATTCCTTGAACCATTTCTTTCTGAACTCTATTTTAAGCTCTTCTACTTCTGCTGAAAAGCAGAGATTCAGAAATCTTGGGATAGTCCTTCACTCCTGCTTCTTACCCTGTCCTGGATCCTAGTTTTGTTGATACCACCCTCTTAATATTTGTCAAGCACATCTCTTATCCATCCTACTAATAAAACCCAAATTCAAGCATCTGTCGTTCTGTTGGTCTGTCTTCTTCCCTGTTTCCTTCCTTCTAGGCTTACCTCCCTGCCTCTGATACATATGTCATTCTAAGAAAAATGTATGGATTGTCCCTTTGCAAAGAATAGACTTCATTATTAAGTACTATTATCTTAATAATAAAGTAGGCTTCATCAAGGTAAAAGATATCATTTGCAGCTGAGCACCCTGTTTGATGCAAAGATGAATAAGGGAAATGAGATACATAAATAACTGTGAACAAGACATTGTGTGGTAACTGGAGTAAGAGATATGCCAAAAGAAAGTTCAAAAAAAAAAAAAAAGTAGAGGGGCAGCCTGGGTGGCTCAGCGGTTTAGCACTGTCATTAGTCCAGGGCCTGATCCTGGAGACCCAGGATTGAGTCCCACGTCAGGCTCCCTGCATGGAGCCTGCTTCTTCCTCTGCCTGTGTCTCTGCCTCTCTTTCTTTCTGTGTCTCTCATGAATAAATAAATAAAATCTTTAAGAAAAAATAAAGAAAAGAGATAACATTTGAACTGGGGTTTAAAGGCACAATAAAATCATTAATAGTTAAGGAATGGTGGGGAAATTTTTCAAAAAAGAGAAAGGTATGGTCAGAAAGGTATGGCTCAAATCTGGAAGGCTGAAGTACCAGGTTATAGCATATGGGCTTTATGCAGTGGACAGTGAGGAAAGCTCTGAATGTTTTTGAATGGAGATTATTCAGTTTTACTATAGTATAATCTGCATAAAATAAAATTCACCCATTTTAAGTAAACATTTTGAAAAATTTTAGCAATGTTTATAGTCATGTAACCAATACAACATATACAACAGTTCCACCCCAGAAGGAGCCTCTAGTGCCTCTTTATGATTAGTCTCATTTCCCCATCCCCCTGGCAACCACGAATCTGTTCTCTGTCACTATAATTTTGCCTTTCCTAGGATTTTATATAAATGAAATAATACAGTACATAATCTTTTGTGTCTGGCTTCTTTCACTTAAAGTAATGTGGAAGAGGGATTCTGTTTGGAAAGATTAATTCATCTTTCTATGCAGATTAGGCTGAAGTCATGAGAGTCAGAAAACAGATGAGTTAGAAAACTACATTAGTCTAGTATGAGACTCAGCATGACTCAGGGTGGCACTAGTGAGAGTATAAAGTTTTAGAAAACTGTAGGTCATGATGAGGGTAAAAATTAGGTTGAAGAAACATGAGAGAAAAGCCTCCATAGAAGCCTACAGAAAGGAGAAGCTTGAGAGTGTGGGACTTGGAGAAGGAATGTAGTCAAGAGATAAGTAACAGAAATGGATGGCATAAGTGGACTTGAAGATCATGAGGAAAGAGGACCAAGGACTTCTGTGTCCATAGTATGTGAGGTTACTGATGTGAGTGTTGATATGAGGGATAATGGGAAGAGGTGAAGCTGTGAACCAAGTATTGATCTTATCCAAGAAGATAGAAGAGTCTTTATTACTGGACTGCAGAAAAGCTTTGGGCAAGTGAATGGTGTAGAATTCAAAAGAGGAAAGAAAGGCTATAGAGGTTTGGTGGTAGAAGGTGAAGCTGGAAGTACAGTGAGGCACAGGGATAATCTTAACCCTTTCTTCCCTAGTGCTGTGGAATGAATTGTGTCTCCCTAAAATCCATTTTTGAAGCTCTAACCCCCAAAGTGGTGTTATTTGGTGATGGAGCCTTTGAGAGATAATTAGGTATAAATGAGGTAATGAAAGTGGGGCCCCATGATGGAATTAGTACCCTCAGTAAGAGACAGATAGCTCTCTTTCTCTCCCTGCCTGGTGAGACACAGTGGGGAGGGGCTATCTACAAGCCAGGAAGAGAGTCTTCACCAGAACCCAGTCATGCTGGCACCCTGATCTCAGACTCCTAACCTCCAGAACTATAAAAAAGTGAATTTCTATTGTTGAAGCCACTCAGTATAGTAGTTTGTTATGGCAGCCCAAGCTGACCAAGAGACTCAGTGAGCCCCAGAAATATGGGAGACAGCAGAGCTTCCCTTAGAGACTTTCAGATGTAGTCCAAGAATGGAGTTCTTCAGAAAACAGAATGATAGATGGGGAAGAGTTCATTCACAGTAGACAAAGAATTTTAAAAATAGATAAATATTGGGGATCCCTGGGTGGCACAGCGGTTTAGTGCCTGCCTTTGGCCCAGGGTGCGATCCTGGAGACCCGGGATCGAATCCCACGTCGGGCTCCCGGTGCATGGAACCTGCTTCTCCCTCTGCCTGTGTCTCTGCCTCTCTCTCTCTATCTATGTGACTGTCATAAATAAATAAAAATTTTAAAAAATAGATAAATATTTGAAAAATTTCTAGGTAATTCTCTGTTTTCTTTTTCCTAGAGAGGTATTACATGATTTTAGTGATGTTCATTTAGCTCTCTAAAGAGACACAGTTTAAGGCAGGAAACAACAAATGTTGGAGAGGATGCGGAGAAAAGGGAACACTCTTACACTGTTGGTGGGAATGTGAACTGGTGCAGCCACTCTGGAAAACTGTGTGGAGGTTCCTCAAAAAATTAAAAATAGACCTGCCCTACGACCCAGCAATTGCACTGTTAGGGATTTACCCCGAAGATTCAGATGCAATGAAACGCCGGGGCACCTGCACCCCGATGTTTCTAGCAGCCATATCCACAATAGCCAAACTGTGGAAGGAGCCTCGGTGCCCATCGAAAGATGAATGGATAAAGAAGATGTGGTTTATGTATACAATGGAATATTACTCAGCCATTAGAAACGACAAATACCCACCATTTGCTTCAATGGAACTGGAGGGTATTATGCTGAGTGAAGTAAGTCAATTGGAGAAGGACAAACAGTGTATGTTCTCATTCATTTGGGGAATATGAATAATAGTGAAGGGGAATATAAGGGAAGGGAGAAGAAATGTGTGGGAGATATCAGAAAGGGACACAGAACATAAAGACTTCTAACTCTGGGAAATGAACTAGGGGTGGTGGAAGGGGAGGAGGGCGGGGGGTGGGGGTGAATGGGTGATGGGCACGGAGGGGGACACTTGACGGGATGAGCACTGGGTGTTATTCTGTATGTTGGTAAATTGAACACCAATAAAAATTAATTTATAAAAAAAAAAAAAGAATTGGGGTTCTTTCTAATAGCCGTTTCCTCTCCTGCTCTTCCTGTATACAGAGCAGTAGTTTATGGGCCGAGAACAAGCCTGCGACCAGAATGTCTGAATTCAAACTCAGTTTTACCACATAGTAGCTGTGTGACCAGGAGCATCTTTCTGAACATCTTTGTGCCTTATTTTCCTCATCTGTAAAATGGAGACAATAATTGTTCCTGTCCCATAGGATTATCACAAGGACAAAACAAGTTACTATGAATAAAGTGCTCAAAAGTGGGCCTGCCTCAGGTAGATGGTCCAGTTATGAACGCTCTGTTGATAGTAACAGCTGTTATGTCCATAAATGTCAATATCAGCTAACCATCTGCTGAAGCCAAAACCCTATAATAAGCAACAGTACACGTTGCTAAAATTAATTGAGCATCTTTCTGTACCCGTCACTGAGCTAGATTCTTTACATACATTTAAACATGTTGAAATGTTTAATTCTCAACATACTAAATCAGGTATGATTGTTATACCCATTTTACTGAGAATAAGACTGAGGCATTGAGCCAAAGCATTCCGTTTCAAAACCTTTCAAATCCTATGGATTTGTACTCTGTATTCCCTAAATTCCTTTCCTTCTCCTTTAATCCGTCAGCACATATGCAGCTACTCCCCACACCAAGGCCTGAGAACACTCCAAGAATTTTAAGTAATTAATGTAGGTAATAAAATTCATTGAATATGATAATTGTATCTTGTATCCTGAAATAATTTCTCAAACTTGGGAAAAAGAACTATATTTACAGTTCATTTAAGACTGCATAGTAGGGGATCCCTGGGTGGCGCAGCGGTTTGGCGCCTGCCTTTGGCCCAGGACGCGATCCTGGAGACCCGGGATCGAGTCCCATGTCGGGCTCCCGGTGCATGGAGCCTGCTTCTCCCTCTGCCAATGTCTCTGTCTCTGTCTCTGTCTCTGTCTCTCTCTCTCTCTGTGTGTGTGTGTGTGTGTGTGACTATCATAAATAAATAAATTAAAAAAAAAGACTGCATAGTAATAATGTAGCCAGTATTATCTACTATAAACCTGTCTTCAAAATTGGCCATAATGCCTTTCTCTACTGACTACTGTTTCTGCATCTTCTATTTTTCTTTAGAATTTCCAGATGATATTAATCCTGTTACCAAAGAAAAAGGTGGACCCAGAGGCCCAGAACCTACCCGATATGGAGATTGGGAACGAAAAGGACGCTGTATTGATTTTTAAGCCACATATTAACTTCAGTATCTTTCTCTGAAATGTACATTTGAATTAATTTATTTACAATTATTTTCTTTCTGTATGTCCTTTAAGCCATTGAATTTCTATAGTGTTTTTTAAAAAATAATGCCTTGAAAGAGAATATACTGCTATAAATTAAGAAAGGGGAATAGTTCTACATTAGCACATTAATTTTAATTTAAATATATTGGAGTATATAAATGATGATTAGAGCTGCAAACTCATTTCATCACATTTCAGTTTAATCAGCTACTTATAAAATGCAAATGTAAATAAAATAAGTTTTAATGATTTCTGTTGCCAAATGCTAGGTAATAGTGGCTTTTTAATTGTGTGTCAAGTAATACATTATAGTTTCATAAGGCCACAGTCACAACAGAAACTCTAACTCCAGAGCCAGATACCTTGGGTTCAAATCCTAGCTCTGCTACTTATTAGCCAGTGATCTTGGGTAAGTTATTTAACTTCTCTACACCTCAGTTATCTTTGTGCATAAATTGGAGATAATACTAGTTCTACTGGGGATCCCTGGGTGGCGCAGCGGTTTAGCACCTGCCTTTGGCCCAGGGCATGATCCTGGAGTCCCAGGATCAAGTCCCACATCAGGCTCCCTGCATGGAGCCTGCTTCTCCCTCTGCCTATGTCTCTTCCTCTCCCTCTCTCTCTCTGTGTCTCTCATAAATAAATAAAATCTCTAAAAAAAAAAAAAAATACTAGTTCTACCTTACAGGGTATTGAGATTTTTAAATGAGTGAATATATGCAAACCACTTGGAATAGTGCATAGCTCATGGCTCTCAGTAAGTGTTAGCTATCCTTCAATCTTAAATGTATTTTTCTAAGTCTCTAGGCTTTCTGGGGGAAATATTAAGAAACCAAGTTTGAAATACTTGAACTGAAACTGTTTTATATGAAAATAACATTAAGACATCATTAATTGGAAAATTCGTGATTTTTTGCATGGATGAACTGAGCTGAAATATACACTAGTTTGTTAAACATAAAATTTAGATACAGAGACCCAATATGAGAAAAGCTGGGACTGAAATGGGCCAGCTTAGTCAGTTTTGATGACTCAGAAGCTCTTATATTATGGCCTTTGGATAACTGGGTCAGGAAAAGTCTTGTCCAGTTTATAGATATGGAATGAAGGAAGAATGGGAACTGCTGGGCTCCTCTAAGGGATCCTGTGTTGTCAGACCTTACACGGTGGCAGAGATTGGACCTTCAGCCCCTAGGCCACTTAAATTAGGAAGAAAGGGTTTGAAGGGTCTCTAGAAGACAGCGCAGTGGATTGATAGTGGTGTGATATGATTTTAAATGCAATATTATTTGAGAAGATTTTAGGAGATTTATTAAGAAAGATTAAGATTAAAGATTAAGAAGATTGTAGGAGATTCTTAAGAAAGAATAAACTTTCTTTTTTTTTTTAATTTTTATTTATTTATGATAGTCACAGAGAGAGAGAGAGAGAGGCCGAGACACAGGCAGAGGGAGAAGCAGGCTCCATGCACCGGGAGCCCGACGTAGGATTCGATCCCAGGTCTCCAGGATCGCGCCCTGGGCCAAAGGCAGGCGCCAAACCGCTGCGCCACCCAGGGATCCCAAGAATAAACTTTCTTAAAAGAGTGTTCTCAGAAACAAACTGAGTAGTCTGGTAATGGCCTAGCCATTCAGTCTTTGTATCAGCTCTCAGTCAGCATTTGTTCTTCTAATGGCAGTTACTGTGTATGCTGCTGAGTAATAACCACATTCCTTTAAAAACATTCTATAACTTAGTCATTATGAGTCATTAACTCACATTAGTGAAAGTTTTTATTAGGTTAACATTGCAGAAAGTAGTATGTCACATTATTTGGTATAGTTTTGTTTGTGTTTATGGTATGGGATACAGGAAAGACAACTTAGATACTTCAAAAACTAATATAAAATATGTAACAACCAAAGTGTGGTATTAAGATAATAGAATCCTTAACCCCTGTTAATAGTAATATGTTTCATGACAGCCATCAAATATATAGGTAAAGTTTGGTGGCATGGAAACATTTATGGTCTTTATGACCATCGAACATTAACAAAAAAACGTGAAGACCTCCAAAAGATGATGTAGCACCAATGAAAATGTGTTACTCAGATCTCCTTATATTGGAAACAGAGTTGACTGAGGACCCCAGTTGCTGCACCATGGGATGCTCCCCACCCCCATGTTCCCTCTGAGGCTACACTTCCCCCAGGCTGTTCCCAGCCAATGAATGAGTGTGTTGGCCCACTCCCCTAATGAAAGACATTGGCTCAATAACTCCCCATTAGCCTACCCAGTACTTTCTTGGGACTGTGCTGCTGTCCAAGAGTCTTTCTACTTAATCCTCCTTTCCTTCTTTCTCCCCTTCCCAGCTGTCAGACTCTGTCTACTTTTCCCCTTTATGCCTCAAAACATTTCCCCAGTGAATCTCTCTCACATTTAATCCCATCTTGTCATTTGTTTCTCAGAGAACCCAAACTAACATGGATAGTTTTAAAAGAACAGCTTATAAAAGAACAATTTATTTATTCATTAGAGACAGAGAGAGAGAGAGATGCAGGCTCCTCTCAGGGAGCCTGATGCGGGACTGGACCCCAGGACCCCAAGATCACACCCTGAGCCAAAGGCAGCCGCTCAACCTCCTCAGCCACCCAGGCGCCCCTGCATTCTTTGGTCTTAAGGCCCTTTTATACTCTAAAACTCTTTGGCGGTCCCTAAGTTGTTTAGGGACTTATGTTTAGGTGTGTTATACCTATTGATAGTTACCATATTAGGAATGAAAACTGAATCGCTTAACCAATACTGATTGATCAGTTAGGAAGGAAACTTCCTACTTACTTACTTTTGGCCAAGACCAAGTAAGGAATGAAAACCAAGCAATCTTTAAAATATGTAATTAATTTTAAAATAATCCCATAATTAAGGCACCTGGCTGGCTCAGTCAGTAGAGCATGTGACTCCTGTTCTCAGGGTCCTGAATTTGAGCCCCAGGTGGGGTGTAGAGATTACTTAAAATCTTAAAAATAAAAAATAAAATAACCCCCAAATAAATGCATTACATGTTAACATAAAATAGCATTTTTTGGAAAGATAACTAATAATTTTTCCAAAAAAAAGAAAAACCTAAAAAGAATGATATTGTTTCATATTTTTGTAATTCTCTTTTATATCTAACTTGATAGAAAGCACCTGTATTCTCATATCATCTGCACTCAATCTGTTGTGATAATTGTTTTGAGGTGTATCAAAGAAAAAAGCTGGCTTCACACAGATATGTGGCTAGGAAAGGGAGGCTCTCAGATCCCCTGAAAGGGTCTTGGGGTCCCCAGAGTCCATGGACCACACACTTCAAGGACTGCTGAGCTGATTTAAGTAGAAAGGAGGATACTAAATGCAGACCCTTCAGAAGGGTGAGTAGAACAGGCTCAGCCTCTAAGACCCAAGTTTCAGAACCACACGACAGCACTGACTGAAATCCCAGCCAGCTGCACCTCTTGGAGGCAGGAACCCACCACACTGCAGACCCCTGAGCCTCTGTGGCTGCCACAGACCACACTGACAAAACGAAGCCCTGGTACTTCCCCCTACCATCTAACCTATTTCTTTTTTTCTTTTTCTTTATTACCATATCATTACTTTTAATGTCCAACATTTAGAATATGAAGGCCAGGGCTTTCTCCCCAACTCATTTCTTGTCTAATTTGGTTTCTGGGAAGACTTCATTCAGGTACTCAATGGTCATCTGATCAAATGGAATTAGGTTCTTCATCTTCTCCAGCTCTTTTTCACATTCTTCAATCCTGGCCTTTGAGAGAGACAAAAACTCAACACAGCTTTTCACATCTTCTTTTTCCTCAGCATCCACCTGGACAGTGTTATTTATCCTCTGGCACAGGAACCTTCAGAACATTAAACTTCTCAAAATCATCTACCAAGCCAGCCTTTGCCACATTGGGCTTGTAGTAAGCCCAGTCGATAGCAGGTAGTTTCTCAGGAAGAGTAGCCAACCTGGAGGTAAGCATCTCATTCCAGATTTCAGAGAGTTGGCAATGGCCTTCTGGTTTCGGGGTATGATCTCCCCAAAAGCTACCCAGTCAGTGGTTCTTAGAGCAAGTTTTCACCCAGCTGTCTTAAGATCCTTCACTGACCCCGGTGGCCCATAGTCCACAGCAGCCATCATCTAACCTATTTCTGCATCATTGTCTTATGTGAGTGGACGCTGAAGTCAGATGTCTGTCTACCCTAGTGGAAGACAGGAGGTGTACTTTTACCAAATTCTGTGTGGGTAAGGGAGGCTCCACACTGAGGAACTACCAGATGTAGAGATGATGTTCAAAAGCTTTGAGCAGATGTTACTTGCTGACCACTATCATCTGAGAAAACTAGTTGAGAATCAGCCTTATTGGGGCATCAGAGTGTAAAATATGTAAAATATAATGTAGACATGTAAAAATAAGGTTTGAGTGATCTCTAAAACATGTTCAATATGTGTTCCTACTCATTTGAAGAATGTTTCCATAAAGATTGAACATCTGAGCCTGTTATTTCTTCTTATGCCATTTATATAGCCTTGGTTAATGAATATGAACATTAGTTATGTTAAAGTTGCTTAAAATTCAGGAACAGCCCATATTCATTTAAAATACAGTCTAGATATATTTAGGCCCTGCATTTCTAACTTGGTTGTGGCAAGTGGAATCTTGTCTAAAGCCTTGAAACTGCAAGTACTCCTAATTAGCTGTTGCTAGTAAAAAGGAATCATGGACAGATTGAGAAGGGGGTTTTTTGTTGATGCAGGTGTGAGAAGGAGATGAAAATCAAACAAAGGAACTTTTAGGAGCAACTTAGAATATTTGAAGCTGAAAACATCCAAGAGAGAAAACTAGGAAAGTGTCTTTGCAGGGTTGACTTTAGCCTCTTTGGAAAAATCTGAATTTATAAACTAAGATGTTAAGACTGGACTGTACCCATTATCTTAAAACATTGTATATGTCCTAGCACAGGAGGTCACTGTGTTCAAGTTGGCATCTTCAACTTTAGAGATACATAAAGTTTGGATTCTTTGGTTTATTGCATCTCATCCCTAAGTCAATGACTCAGATGGATCCCTTATTTTTTTTAAAAAGTTTATATAAGATTTTATTTTGATAATATCCTTTCCTTTTCTGGTCAGAAGTGTCAGAACTTCTGAGTGGATTGTCTCATATCAAATCCAACCCCTTGATTACATGACCCTCTCCCACATACCTACATGCTAAAGGTTTCAACTGGGCAGAAGAATCTT